TGTGTGAGCGTGTGTGTGTGTGTGTGAGTCGCATGCATAACGCTTTTTCAAAGTATGCATGAAAATGACACTTACGTTCTCTAGGATGTTATGTGCTCGGTTCAGGCAGCCCATGCAGTCTTGGTAAAGCATCTGAGCTCGTTTTTGAACAGACATGGACGACATGCTAAAAAAACAGGCAAAATAAATCAATAAATACAGTAAAAATGTTATATTGTTACAAAAATGTTACAGATCATGTATTATATCACTAATCATTTAAGGTATTTTAAAGCAAACAAATGTTTAATGTTTTGCTGAATAGATTTAACCATCATTCAGTTAAAAGACAGATCAGAACATATTCTCAAACGGGAATAGTATTTCACATGTTGTGGTTAAAAACAAACAAGCCAGGTCACATTTTGAATTCCAATGATTTTAATGCATGCACATGCACAAATTTCACATGCACAACAATTTTATGAAAGCACTGTTTGATATGTGACCACATAACAATAATGAACAATACACGCAAAATCCATATGCACAATGGTCACGTGTGACATCCAATTTTTATAGCTAAAATATTAGTCTTTTATAGATGTGGACTTAATGGGGCTCTTTCATTTAAGTCAACTTTCTCTCGGATGTTTCACTAAATTTCACCAAAATAAATATAATACAAATTTAACAATTGGTGACATACAGTAAGTATAGAGTTAATCAATGAACGTATATGCTACAACTCAGATAAGATATTTTCTTACATTTTAATTGCAGACTTTGTTTATAAATAACAATAAAACACTTGATAATTTAATAATGGAAACTTACCTCTGTCCTCCTCCTCCTCCTTGTGAGTTTCTGGAGAATGTTTGTGCAATGGTCTGCGTATAGCCATCATTGAACTCAGACTGGTATCCATTTCCACTCATGTAGTACTGCGCGCCGTCATTCCGGGGTAAACTGTAGCCCACGGTGGTCAGATCGGGCCGGGAGTTGGATCTTCGGCCGATCGTGTGGAGTCTGGTCTGAGATCCGGACAAACTCATCTCTGTGGAAGACTGCAGCACCAATTCTGTGACCGGTCTCAACCAAAGAAAGCGCAAGGAAAGTTATGAATGTGCTGCTGTTCGGCTCTGCTCTTGCTGCGCGTCTTTGCGCGGCGGTGAGTGCGCAGATACTGGCCGCTGCGCTCTGGATAGTTCCGGTTTTGCAGTTAGACCACACCTGCGCATTCTCACTATAGAGAGAGTTCAGTTCCCACGAGGTGCGACTCAGGAGGCGCGATATCAGTCATCCTCACTTTCCCACGGAATTCTTTCATACGGTCGGATAAGAATTTTTTTCTGCTTAAATCATTTTTTTTCACAGTTTTTTTTTTCACTACTTGAACCGCAGCCAACAAGCTGCACATTATATCAAAAGCTGAAGATGCCCTGCAAATTTAACCTCTACTAGGCCTACTATTAATTATTTGGTTAGTTTCAAGACTAGATATGTGTACATATACATATACATATGCATATATATATATATATATATATATATATATATATGGTATGTGTGTTTGTTTATTTTTCATTACTTTCAAAAGGTAAAGATTGCAAATGCAGTCCATTTATTTATTTTTTCTTTACGTACTTTTTATGAAGTTGCATGAAAATGGCACGTGACCTTTTTTTCTTATGTTTTTTCCCCACAATTTTTTTCACTACTTGAACCTCAGCCAGCAAGCTGCACATGCATTCTATCAAGAGCTTCTTTTTTTAGCAAAATGTTTAATTAATTAATTATATATTTATTTTTTATTAATTGATTCATAAGGCATCTATCTACAGGTGCATCTCAATAAATTAGAATGTCGTGGAAAAGTCTATCTATCTATCTATCTATAGGCACAAAGAGACTGAACAGTATGTCCCATATCATAGGTATCCCATATCATAACAATCAGTGAAATGGGAAACAAGTACATCTCACATCTGTAAAAAGTAAAATTGTATCAATAAATAACACGTGATTGCAGGGAATCAGAAGAAGCATAAAGCACGCCCTGTCTGACTCAAATACACACAGACTCAATCTGCGGAGGACTTTCCCCCGTGTGTGTGTGTGTGTTGTCCACGGTAGAGCGACACACCCACCTCACCCAGCCTCACACACCCTTTACAGTCCTCTGTGATTACAGGGAGGTTCTTGACAGGTTAACTTAGAAAAAAAGTGTAGCATGGTGGTAATACAAAAAGATTGTAATTGTCCATTAGCCTGTTTGACAAGTGAAAAGTACAATGCATAATGTCATATTGCATTAATTTACCATTTGGTGTGGTAAAGTTAGGAATAGATTATAAATCTGATTATAAATCTTTTTTTGATATCTCAGCATTTAAAACTATAATTATTGAAACCAGAGTTCATTGCAACATTGTATGTATGCAATACTATGTGTCAACATGCACAATATGATTTTTTAGCTTTCTACCCCTGAAATTTTGCAACACAGCAAGACTCTTACACAAGCTTATCTCAACCAGCCAGTTAAGTTTTCATACCTGTTCACCGGGTGCAAATCTCCAGTTACACTTAGCTGAAGATCTGAAATTAAAATCCTTCTTTCAAATTCTTAACTCTCAACAAATGAAAGTTTACAGTTGAAACTTAGGTTCAATCAATCCAACCTCTCTCAAGTTTTGGCCCTTATAATTTTACTTATAACCTGTCAATCATTAGCAACAGCTTAGTCATCACATATGTAAGTCTTGCTCACACCTTTTAATGTTGTGAGTTGTTTTCTCGTGAATGTCTTAAATTTCATTCTTTTTGACATAGCTTCTACTTGTACAAGATTAGCGACATAGCTAAGAATGTTATCTGTGTTGTATTTCTCTGATTTAGGTCCTACAAATATGTGGCATTGTGTGCACACCTCCAGGCGTCATGTGACATGATGGTGTCCCCCAAGGCTTAATGCTGGGCCCATTATTATTTAACCTACACAGTATATATTTCAATTAGCTCATGCAGATAATCAATATAACATATATTTTCAATTTGGTTGTACGGGGTCCAAATGCTCTGTCAGATCCCCAAAGCACTAGATGCTCACAAACCAATTAGCAACATTTTGGTGTGCATAGACAGCATGAATGTGTGTATGTCAGTGAACTTTCTGCAACCAAATAAAGATACGACAGAGAGCAAAGTGAGATATGGTTTAGCTCTATTTTATTTTCTTATATTGTTTTTACTGTTTACATTATTATAGGGAACTGAGATGTTTTCTGTAAACCACTTTGAAAAAGTGCTATATAAATACTTCTCTTTCAAATTAGTTATGTGTAATTGTTTTCAAATTTCAGATTGTATTTCAATTTTAAATCCTAAAAAGCTAGACCTTTTTTACCCCATAACAATCTCAGAGAATGTCATTGTGTGCATACTTGTATGCTGCTGATTGCTCTCTCTGACTGGGAACAGTGTTTCTCTTAATCTTGTTTAACAAGAGTGGCACACACCTACAGACACACCGGTCAAGCCCTTAATAGTTTTCTGAATTAATTTCTTTCCGTATAGTTAATTGTTGCACTTCTGGAAAGAGCCTAAGCATGAACAAACTTGCCCAAGTAATAAATGTAACGACTAAGAGACTGCCACCATTCACATACAGTAAACACAAGAAAAGAACATCGCCCAGGCCTCACATACCACATTTTATTGTACTTTGACTATACTGTCAAAATTCCTGAATATAATATAATAAAATACTATAACTAAACACAACCTTTACCTTGCCTTTACTTTAAAATAGGAAATATGTATTATTGTTTTTTTTTCCCTTTCGTTTTCTGAGGGGCTACCACTGACAGTCCTGACACTACATTCTATGAATGTGACAGTCTATTGTTATTTTTTCATTTTCTAAAAAATTCCTGATTACATATAGGCCTTTTGTGAACTCAGAGGTCATATTGTTGTGTCCCTTTTGTTGATCTCTCCTCCCTCTCTCTCTCTTTCTCTCTCTCTCTCTCACAGGTCCTAATTGAACATGTCGCTAACTTGTGTGATGCTTGGCCATAAAGAAACTTGTTAAATGTTGTTAAATTGTTGTTGAGAGTTTTGGTGATACTGGTAAAGTGCATTTATAAACGGTTTTTAGTGTGTTTAGAGTTTAGAGTGTTTGCCCATTATTATGAATATTGTATACTGTAAATATAATTTTCTCTCGCCAATGAAGCAGTAGTGGTTGTGTGCAGTTTATTTTTATAATTACATTTAATGTATATATATAGGTTTAGACCCTGAATTTTTGTTTAGTACTTTTTAGTACTTTTACTGTTGTTAGACTAGTTAACTGGAAAGAAGGTAATGAAAGAAGGTCCTCTTGTTTGGTTTGTTATTTGTCATTAATTCAAATAGCTTCCTCGCCCCTGGATGGCATGTCAATTTGACAGTGTATGGCTGTCTAGACCAACTTACAAATAAACAGCAGGCCTGCCGGACATCCCTCAGGTGCTTCGATCCAAGTAAGGGCTTGTCAGATGCAACCCAAGATGCCCCAGGCGATGGCCCTCACCATGCAGACTGAACTGCCGTGACTTACCATTAGGGCCTTTCGCACCGCTTTAGTTCCAGAACTAAATGTACAGTACTAAAGTACTGGGACGATTTTGCACGAACTATTTCCAAGTACCATTTAAAGGGTTGCATTCGCACCGACAGTGTGTACTAAGAAGTGACGTAAGCCGGTCGACAGCGTCGTCATTTGTGTGCGGCGTTCAACAACAGAAACAAAGAAGAACAACATTAACAACAGGAGGATGGAGGACGCTGTGATCGGAGCTGTGTTTTTGTTGTGTCTCGCGGGTTTCACAATAATGGACATGGAAAGTCGACGTATACGTAAAGCGATTGAAAGAACGGAAAGGACTAAGGACTAAGAATCTCCAACGACAACTGGCAGTGCTACATTTGCTACAAGTGCACTTCAGCATCCGTCCATCTATCGCTGTTCTCCATACTTGCAAAATAAGTTGACACAATGTTTACAGTATGTTTACACGGCATTTTAAATCATGGCAGGTGAGGGCGTTTTCATACGGGTTTGGCCAATCAATGTCTACTTACGTCACGATTAGTACCAGTTGTGCTGGTTAGACCCTGCTCACAGGAGCTAATTTGGTTCTCGAAAAAGGCAGTCCGGTACTAAAATCGCACCCAGTTCCGGCGGTGCGAAAACGCCAAAAAGTGGGTAGTTCCACAATTAGTTCTGGTACTATGAAAAGGTTCCCGCGGTGCGAAAGGCCCTATTATTGGAGCTGGCTTGTAAGACAGGGTGGAACACAGTCTTTGGGAATGAACCACCCAAATCCAGCCTCTGAAGTAAAAGTGAAGGGTATGGTTGGTGGTAACCAGAATGGGACTTAAGCTGCCACCTTCACCTATCAAGGCCATCAAAGACATGCCACCAGACGTGCTGAATGCGTACCTGGAGAGAATGAGAGGAAATCAAAATGTTGTGTAGGTACACAAAGGCAAACTTGTTGATAATGTCTCTCAGCACTTCATTTACAAGTAGCTGGAAGACCATGCAGGGAAGCTCCCCTTGTAGTGCACAGAAGCAGAAATCCCGTTTTTCAAAAGTTTCTGAACAACAAAAAATGGAGGACTTTTGTCTTCAGATAAAACAACACAGTGCACTGATTTCAGAACCCTCACTTATAAAAGTACCTTCATCTGTGTGCTCCAGACTACAAGGATCTTCTGAGTTCCAGTTCAACATTCCTCGACACTTCATGTTCAAGGCTCTTTTATAAGGAATCCAACTACTTTCTCTCACTGTAAATGGCCCAGCACAATCTGTGAAAGACGTCACTGCCATTGGACTCATCACTTGACCATGCAGAACGTAATCATCACTTAACCAAACGGTGACACAAGCAAAGTTGTGGGAAAAGGCAAGCAGGGGCTGAGATTATGTCTCCCAATTCCTACTTACCCTCGCGGACCTCACAAGACCACACCACTACTGCCACATACCCCCACCCATCTACACTCCCAGCCTTTGGACAATCTCAAACTTAAAGGCTGTGAAACCAGATACCAATGGGTGATCCACACAATGGCGTCCTCTATGCGGTGGAGCCACTGGAGTGGGGCATGGTTCGAATAAAACATG